TAACTCACATAAACATGTTCCCATGTACATGACATGCCTTGCTGTTGGTAGAGCTGTTTCATCAGACTTTAACAACCTCATCCTGCATGTACACAAAAGCCTCAACCCTAAGAACTGCCTGTCACAGATTTTGCGTTTGTGTGCGTACAAATATTGTCTGTCTGTGGGTGTTCTGGTAGGGGGATGAGAGGGAGTGGGGAAAAGGAGGGGGTGGGTTGAACCAGTGGCTGATTGCATGGCCAACTCCCACAACTGTGTTCTGCTTCGAGTGACATCAACGCAATGGAGCGAGGACCTGATACACCTTTTCCGTGTGGTCTACTTGCAGATCGCCACTCGCATATCAATTCATTTTATTTAAATCTTCTGACTTACAACTCCCGCTGTTCAGAACCTCTTGCGTAAAAGGCCGCCCGCGGCCCTGTGGATGTAGGTTGGGCGGCGGCTGCCCCCACCCCCGTGTGTCATATCGACCCACTTGCACACAGCCAAAAGGCAAAGGGGCAAAGAAAAGAGGAAGGGAACAGCCAAATATAACAAAACAAGGGGCAACAAGATCCTGAATGAAGCACCGCCCCCAACTTCATAGGCCAAACAACGGGACAAGACTAACCAGGATATCAAAACACTCTTGCCTGCAAAAAAAGAAATCCCAAATACATATCTACATACAGCAGATGGCCTTGTTCGTCATCAAGGCATTGCTATTCCCGTTCCTAAACCATTCATGCTCTCATAGGCCGAACAACAAAAGAACCGGGATGACTGGTCCCGCATGAAAGCACCGCTACGCTCGCCAAAATAGACCGAGCAACGGGACAAAACCAACCGGGATGCATACAAGGGTGCCAAAAAACAAACATAACAGATCCTAGATGACAAGTCCCACATGCAAGCACCGCCCCCTACATCACAGGCCAAACGACGGGACAATGGCCAACCAGGATAGCAATCAACACCCTTGCCTGCAAAAAAAACGATATAAAAACAATCCCAGATGACGATTCCCACTTAAAAGCACCGCCCCCTTCGATAGGCCAAACAACAGGAACCAGCCAACTAAGATGCCAAAAGGAAAAACCCAGATGACAAGTCCCACATGAGACCACCGCCATGTGAACCGAACAACCCACATGAAACCACCGCCACGTGGGCCGAACAACGAGACAAAACCAACCGGGATGCAGACAAAGAGTACCAAAAATACCATCTACCATAACCAACACTTGAAAAAACGGAACCATACAGTAGGTCCGTAAAACGAAATACCCCAACAATGAGGAAGAGCAAAGCAAAAGAAAAAAGATAGAAAGGAGAATTAGAAAAGAGTATATTCTACCATAGCCAAAAGAATGAGCCTGCTAGTACAGGCCCGACGCTCGCCGCATCATCTACAAAAGCAGAGAGCTAGCAACGTCGAAGTATATATTGTCACAAAGTTCTCAGAGCGCAAAAACGAAAAAAAAAACAAAAGGAAACAAAAAAGATATCAATTCATTTTTTATCTTCTTACTTACAACTCCCCCTGTTCAGAACCTCTTAATATATATATCGTCACAAACAGAACTGCCCGGTAAAACCGTAGGCAGAGAGAGAGAAGAGGACAACAAACGAGGGGCTGTGACAAACTGTTTCGTC